TTAACTTAGATAAATGATAAATTATTTATTCAAGAAATTATTTAAATTAGTTCAGTATTTCCGTACAAAATGCTACAGTCTGCTTTTCAATAGATAGCAGCATTTTAATAGAAATAAAAACTTAATATTGTTCGCCAAGTTTTTTTAATTTTTCATATTAAATTAACTATTCTTAAGTTAAAATGTTTGTAAAGGTACTTTTATTTAAATTTAATTATAAAGGGAGGTTTAAATTGTACATCTAATAAGTGTTTTTATCGATTGTTGCATAAATAAATAATCAAAATCAACTTTTGCATAGCAGAATTCTTACCTAATTGGAAATAGGGACATTGACTTTACATAACTTCAAGACTACCTACTTTTTCTTCAACTTTTCGAAAAGAATACAGAAAAATACAATTGTACGGACTGAAAGGTCACGACGAACAATGAATTTCTTCGAGTAAATAGAAAGAAATTTCTGTAACGCCAACATTGTCCTCATACTATAAAATTGCACCCTCCTCTCCATCGCCAAACACCTGAACTACCGAACCCCTCAAAATGACGAATTTCAGATATTTTCTATAACAATTACTGAAATTCTACAGATACTTTCGTCACAATCCCCGAATGTCATCCAATTAAAAACAGCATCCACCGAAACATTATCGTATACATTCATCCATAATGCAATTCAGTTGAGCTGTTAATCGAATCACAAATGAGGACTCACATTACCCGTTGTAAAAAGGGTACCCAGTCGAGATAATCAGCGATGATAAACGTTCCTTCCCCCATTGCAACCTTGCTGCAGAGCCATGGATGTTATTAATAAAATTTCCATTTTCATGACGTCGGAATCACGGGCGAGATTTACTAGAGATATAAACAGTGGAGGGGGAGGGAAGATGGCGAAATGGTTGCGGCGGCAGCGGTCCTCGCCGAAAGGAAACGCAGCCGGCCCTTCGCGGCTGGAGGAGACGCCACGGCTCCGCTCTGTTTCCGTACGCACATGCGTGACAGACACGCAACCGTGCACGCGCGCGGCACTAACCTTACCCCAACAGAAATTCTCGTGCACGCGCGTCCCGCGACCCTCTTCTTCGTCCCCAGTCAAGTGTTTCTTCAAGGATTACTGAAACCCTCCGTCCATTTCTTTTTTTTTTTGTTATCCTCCCACCGCTTGGTCTTTTTGCGTTAACAGTGTTGTACAGGGTGACCTCCACTATTCGAACAATTTCTTCAATTTCAACAAAATTATTTTTAAGTATTCAAAGTATTATAAGGATTTTTGGAAAAATGTAAAAGTCCAAATGATCGTCATCCCGACTTTTAAACAGTTCATGATATTAAATAATCGTTTGCAAAGTGTCTACACGTTCAAGAAGAAACATTATCTTATGATAAAAATTCGAATTACCACGTTCGATCAAATAAAAATAACGAAATATTTTTTTCATCTTTTATTCGTTATTCGAAACTTTTTATCTACACAATTAATTTGCCCATCTCTGGTTTCGGTGTAGCTTTGATAGCATAATACCAGTATCAAAATCATACCCGTTTAAGTCCCTGGAATACAGTCATAAAAAAAATCGTAAAGGTTAAACAACGGACAATTTCAATAATACAGTCGAAACATATGTATAACCAACAGTCGAATTTTCGCCGGTTCGAAGCAGCCCCGCGTGTCTGCCGCGTCGCTCTCCACCACACGGGCAAAGACATTTGCCTCTACCGAGGGTTAATTATATTTAGTAACAGGCTGCCTGTTTCGCGCCTTTCGAGGGACAAACCCCCCCTCCCGGTTTCCCTTTTACGACGGTGGGCACCTTCGATGCCCCCCACCACCCTTCGTTCGTTTATCTCGAAATAACGCTGCGGGCGCACATGGGCGTTTCTTCGAGCACTGTCGGCCAGATGCGTGGGTGGTGGCAGTGAAGAGAAGAGAAGGAGAGCACGAATGACGGTCACATGGCCATCGTCGCGGGCTCCTCTTCTGTCCTGACTTGTCAGTATTCCGTGAAGTGTTGTGCCGGTGCCAGACCGTACACTTGGTCCTCCTTGCGACGTGACTCTCCCCCCTCCCCTCGATCACCACGAGGCGCCCTTCGATCGCGATATAAATCACATCCAGGTTAATTGTAATCAGAACATGTCTTGTGTTAAGGATCTTTGTTGTGACGGCAGTGATCGATTGGTTGCATGATAGAAGAATATTATACGAAGAGATTTCGTCTTCGAGGACCGTGGAGAACCTGAAGTGACGTTGTTTGGAGAACTTGAAGATCGATTCCGTGACAGGAGATCGAATGGACTGTGTATGCTTTGGCTGTGGCTCTTTGTGCTTCTGATTGTGGTTAAATTTGAATAGATTTGTGCGTCAAGAACTCTGGAGGATCTCTACCTGCTCGATTGCATCTGTTTGGAGAACCTGAAGGACCATTTGTGATAGGAGATCGAAGGGACAGTGGGTTGACGTTCTTTCTGTTTTTGTTTGATTGCTGCTGACGCGTCAACAGAAGAGTACGAAGAGATTTCTTGTTTGGGGAACGTGAAGAGTTTGTCTTCAGCTGTGAATGCATCCGGGAAACTTGGGATTGAGTTTCGATTTGTATGTGGATAAGGGTTTGAATAGATCGTAGTAATCGGTAGGGAAGGAAATTTCTTCAGTCTTGGCTTTAATTGGTCATTAAACGGTAATGCTTCACCTGTCTATACATAAATGCTCCTCGAGGTGTATATTTTAGTGCCAACAATCTACTGTGAAGTTCTGTAAATCAATTTTTTTATTTCCCTCGATTTCAAATATACGTCAAATTAAACTTCCTACGGCGATCTGTTTGAGATTCAAGATAAAGGTAAAGATACCTTAAGAATCTTTACAATCATTCATCGTTAAATATGAAGCGAAGAAGATGAATACAAAGAGGCACGTCTCTTTCCAATTTCGATCAAGTATAAAGATTTCCCAACGTTTGTTTGGTCAGAGGTTTGTTGAATTCTGTTATCTAAAGATAGACAAGCAGAGGTTCTCCTAACCTATTCTTCCTGGATCGAAGCGTGGAGCACGAAGCTTTGACAGCAACGAAGAAGCTTACTGATTCAAATGTATCAATATTCCAACATACAAAGAAAAACAATGTTTGTAATTATCCAACCTGAAGATTAACCAATTTTCATCAACATTTCGACAATTTTCGAGCCGAGAATCTCTTTATTCGAAGAAAGACAACGAGGAAACTGTTCAATCGTTTCGCGAGACCAGTCGTTGGAAACGTTTTCAAAGAGACTGTGTCCAACAAGAAACTGACAGGAGACTCGTTTAACGTTGTTCGAACGTAATATCGTGCTCCCTCGATCCACCGTCCCGAGAACGAAGACCAAATAAAACGACAGTTATCGAATGAACCGCGAAGGGCACCGAATAATGCGGCCCTTGATACTTTCTTACGCCCAGGGAACAAAAACATCCGCGACGCTGAGTGTTATTTCCTCCGAAATACACTTCCACTTAATCGCAACGTCTTGCATGATCGATTGATCGCCGCCACGCTTGGATCGACGCCCGTTCCTCGAGGAAATACAGAAACCGCCGATTACCAGTGACTTTTATTCAAGATCAGGAACTTGTACGAAGGTAAATCGATTAAAGGATTCATCGGGAATTCCCAGCGAATCAGGAAGCTATGGCTGCCCTGATGAACTTCGACCGATTGCTTCTGAAAGATTGAAGGTAAGGGAATTGCAATTATTATCCAGGAGATCGCGAAACATTCCACAGATTTATGTTTCTCGTAAATACATGAAAAGGTTCTCTTTCAGTTTGAAAATAATTTATTAATTTTTCCATTAGCTATGGTTGTTAAGGATCGTAGTTCAGATAAATTTAAAATAGTTATTGCAAGATTTCGGATTCTATGCATTATTAAAGGATTGCCTAGGTTTTTTAAAAACGACTTCAGAAATATGTGAAGTGGAGTATATGAAAACCACTCCAGAAAAATTTAATTCTAATTCCACTTGCACAATTCCTATAATTATTAGGAATATAAATTTATTTTTAATTCGCTTTTACCGGCAAACAAACCTTAAAAGAGGGATTAATACATATCTCAGAAAATCACTCCAGAGAAAAGGATTTTGCCTCGATTTTCACAATCATCCCTGAAAGTCACTCCAAAAAAATGAGATTTTCTCTTTACTCGCGCAATTCCTATTCTAACGATTTCACTTGTCCATCGAAATTCGCCGACACTGACTGATTATCTTAAGGCGAATGTATTTTCGTCGACGTCGAGGACGCAAAGCAACGCGAAATATAGGACTTTGTACGCCGGGAAGAATATTCTTCGAGACGTATGCAGAACGCGCGAACAGTCAGCTGAAGTAACCTTAATTAGCAGCTAATGATATGTATACACGGAAATTGACGTAATATATTTGAAATTTATAATTTACAATTATCGTTCATTCAGTTTCATACTTTACACCCGCGTTAATTTCGTTGAATTTTCAGTTTTAAATAAATTTTTGCTTATGGACCACGATTATTTTTTAAGGTTTCCACAAACCGAGATATTTGAACGAATATATTCCATTAGGAATTAAACGGGCGGCTCCACGCGTATATGTATTAATAGATCGAACCTGACAGCCGAACTTAACCAGACGCTCGGGCGTTACCAACGAAATCGTTCCCCTTGCGTTTTCGTTCGGTCTTTCAAGCGAGTTCTGTGCTCCCTTTCTTTCTCTTTCGATCAACTGCAAGCCATATTAACCAGCAACTGTAACAATAAAATCGTAGAGATCACATTATGAACGATAAATTGTCCTTTGATTGTTCGGGAACCAAATATTTTCTGTGATCGACTCGCGATCTGCGATTAAAGTCGACGAGCACGATATTGTGTCATCGTAATAATATTAAATCGTAAAACTGTCCCTGTTTCGGTAGCCGAAGCTATAATTCGAGACGCTTAAGCCTTTTCAAGAGCGTGCAAGGTCAATTCGAAATGGGCTACCTGCAGGTTAATTTTCATCAATATAATTACTAGACTGCGGATTTTAATGCAAAATAAAATTTTATAAAGTAATTCTTGAAAAGAAGAACAAAATTAGGAATTTCTATTAAATTCACATCTATAGTGAATACTATATTAAAAAAAACATCACTGACATTCGATGATAAATTAAACATACCAATAAAGTAATCCACTTTTTCTCAATGAAATCTTTATTCCCTTCATTCAGAATCAAGGACCTATAACTACTTCATATTTGTAAAGATTTTCCAGCATCCTATGCCCTATTTTTCTCGATGCAACCTGGAGGAGATGTTTTCGATTAAAATTTTATTTTTCCTTTTTCGTATATATATAAAAAAAAGTGTACGCTTGGGACGAATCCGAACGTATTCTCATCGCAGAGGCGATCGGCGACAAAAGAAATCGAAATGAAACGGTGGAATTGGATTTTCGGTTGGAGCAGGTCGTAATAAATTGGATCGATGGACCTTGATACACGTAAGAGGCTCCCAAGCCTGGGACTGATTGAACGTGCATGTGCAGAAGTCCGTTGGTCCGCGACGTCGTCGGTGCCATAAGCGCCGATCTGTTGCGTAAGCGGCAAACAATGCGCTTGGAAATGCGTGTCGCGTACGACGGACGAAAAGGTAACCGATGTGTACCGGCGCGATTCGAGATCGCCTGACAACGAATTTTCAGCGGGAATCGAAGGGTGTTCCTAGAAATTACAGGTGTGCGTAGGATGTAAACATTAAATATTTTAATATTAACAGAGTCGGTTAACCCCTTAACTACAATTGTCGTGAATAAGCGATTTTAAGATATGCTAAAAAAAAGTGGTATAATTTATTTTCTGGGAATTTTTACGATTTATTAGTGCAGATGTGATATTGCTTCACAATGCTAGTTTCACAAATGCCTGAAAAGTATATTCAGGATGCTTTTGAATCTCTATCTACAAGGGGTGAAAGAGGGATAAAATGTGTTTCTATGGATTTCTTAATATCTGTTAATCCAAATGTGATATCCCACTGATTTTTGCTTCAAAATGCTACTTCTACAAATGCCTGAAAAGTAACTCCAGGATTTTTTTAGATTCCATCTCGGGGGTGGGGGCGAAAAGGTGTCCGAATATACGGGGATAAATATAATAATATATACATTTTCATCTTTACAATTCAATTTAAAAATTTTTTTTAATAATGATTTGCCAGGTCCCGAAATCTACGCGAGCGAAGTCATGGGCAAAAAGCTAGTCACTGTATATTTAAAAAGATGTTTGTTTTCCATTCATACATTAAGTTTACATGAGAATGGTTTTTACTTTCACACATATTGTAGTATAATGACTACCATAACTATAAATATTTGTATTTTATACCTCTGAGGGTTTAGTTAAATTATTTCCTACTAATTTAACTATAGAACATAAATGTATATTCAAATATTGTTTCAGTTAAATTATTCCCTACTAATTTAATTGTTGTCAGACGTTCCAAACAACGAGACATAGAAAAAAAAACAGTAAAATCACAGCTCACGCGAAAAGAAAGAAATACTCCACGAAGAAAGGAACGATTTATCGTAACGAAGTGGCGCGCGCAAGCGCACGAAAAAAAAAAAAAGGGTGAAGGAGCGAGGTCGACGGGGGACCACGGTCCGCCGACTTCGTGGATCGGTTTAATTTACGTATCCCATGTTAATTAGCGAGTCACATTTAAAAGGAACAAACCGTGCACGCGTCGACATTAATGCGTTTCGAAGGCCCCCCCTCGAGAAGGGCCACGTGCACCGGCCCGGATGCGTTCGTCCCTCCCACCGCCCCTTTTTTTTCTTTCCATCGCGGGGCAGGTGAGTCGCGCGCGCCCGCGAATGATAGTTAAATACGGTTCAGGTTGACCCGGCACTGGTGAACTTCTTCCTCACCTTGAAGCAGAAATAGCGCTGCGGTGCGTTTCGATTGCTTCAAGAGTCCATTTCGCAAGGATCGTAACTGCAAAGCCGCCATTTTCTTAACTCTAGGACCGGTCGTAGAGTTTTTAGAATTTTTTAATAATTACGAATAGATCGCGAAAAACTTATAGAAATTCGTGATTTTAATTGGTGAATAAGCATACAGGGTGTCCCATTTAAATCGATCTCCATGAATGTTTCGGAAATTATTTATGTTACCGGAAAGTGTTTGAAAGAAAAGTTGAATGGTATCGAGGGGGACATAATTTGATGTCAATAGTAGTGAAAGAAATTATAATGATGATAATGACCAGAAATGAGTAAATTCATTTTCTAGATAAAGAATTTGGTACAACGAGTGCAAATACAATACTTCGTCATTTGTATTTCATCATACTCTTTCATACCTCAATTTTCTCTTAACAGTAAAAGAATATTTGGTTACACATTTTAACTCAGCCGACTATTTAGATAATATTTTGTAAAAAATATTTCATTCAATTATTTCTTAAAAAAAAGGGTTTGTTATTCAATTCTGAATTCACTAGAGCTAATGAAAAACATGTAGAACATGAAAAAATTCAAATTTTCAAGAAAAATATGGATTTTCCAATAAAATAATATTTCTTCTCGAATGAGTGGATACTCTGCAAATAATAATGCAATCTCATTAACCCTTCAAATAATATATTTTACTGCGAATTGTTCGAATAAGGTATTGCACAATTCTGCACCTGGGTACACCCTGTATAATGGTAACGCTGCAACGAACGCTAGAAGTTTGTGCATCGTTCCGCGGTGATTCGTCCCATCAGCTGATCCATTTGGACAGGGGAGTAAATCAAAGTGCTTGAGCTTTCATGGGAACGATAACCCGAGAGGCTCTGTCCCTCTCTCTCTTTCTTCCTCCACCTCTTGCCCTCCGTTCCCTTGCGCTCTTGGCACGCTCGTAGCTCTCGCTCCGTCCTTGTCGGGAGCCGCACGAAAATAGTAGCAACTCCGGGTTGCTGCAACAAACCAGAACCTCGTGTGGCCCCGCACTATAGCGGAACTCGAGCGAGAAATTTCGATGGAACGAATACATAAAGCTACGACTTCTCTGAACTGCACGAAAATACGATAGGGCCTTTATTATCCGAACGTCGATCAATGGGAACCATTGATGACACAAGGTGACTTCTGCAAATTGTTAATAATCATAAATGTAGTTGACAATTTAACAGAATATTCTTAAAAGGTTCGAATTTGATTATTATCAAAAAAATCGCAAGGCCTACGAAAAAATTATTATCGAAAGTGGAACGTTATAAAAATTTCTTTTTAAGATGAGCCTTATGGAACTGTAATTGATACTGAGAAGCTAATCACTTCTTATTTAGCTACAAAAAATTATATTTTCATAAGAAAGTAGGTGGTTATAGATTTTTTTACGGAAAAAAGATACGTTAACGATCAAATAAAACTAAAAATTGAGATCGCTTGTTTTCCTTAGGTTTGTTCGACGAACTTTCCAATTTTTTCTTAAAAATTAAAAAGAAAATAAAATTCCTTTTACAGTAAGGAAAAGCTTTCTTGCCTTTTCCACCTATTTGTAAATTATTTTGAAGTATTTCAAAGTATTTATCATTCAAATTACATTGGTAAAATTAATAAAAAGTTTAAAACGCCACATGGAGCCCCAGCTAGATACGATATTGTATCTCCCAAACGCAGAAGCCACCTTAAAATTTATTTTTCGGGGAAAAATCGAATTCCTTCCGAATAAAACCCGAAATGGTGCTCCAAAAAGTGTCCGATTTCGCGTCGAAACGAGAGAAACATGGCGAGGAAAACGTTCAAGAATGAAGACCAGGGACGGGCTGAAGATGAACGGGAGTTTGGAGCCAATATCGCGGGGGATAAAACGTGAATGAGACTGTTCGTGCCCGATTCCCCATCCCCCTTTACCACCCCCGTCCCACCACCATAAGCCTATCCGTGGGCTGGTCGCGCGACACGCGTCTTTAAGAATTCGAGCGTGTATTTTCAGCGATGAATGAAACGGACGATCACTGAAAGCGTCATGGGGGTCCCGATCGAGACACGACACGGCTCGAATCGAAATGAAAAATCTATTCCTCCCCCTCGCTCGTCCTTTCCCTTTCGACGAATTTTATTTCACCATTTTTCTCGTTTCCTTTTTACTCCCTGTCGGCACGGAGGCGTGGGAGAGGGGCACGAAATTCGAATGGCGGAAATTTTCGGTGGAAATTGACCGACACAGAACGGGGAGATTGATTGATCCGGACGGTTGATTGATTGGAATGCTTTCTGAAAAATTGACGAAACGCTTCTGGTACTTTTTTTTTTACTATTTCATCCCTTAAATGTTTTTTTTTTTTTTTTGAGTGGACGTTTTGGTTTGAGACCGAACGTTATTTTTAAATAAGGATTGGCAATCGTATGGGGGAACATTTCAAGAGGGAAAACATTCCTTCTGTTTAAGCTGGCTTGAATTTGTAGAGAATTGAAAACTATACTAAAGTAGCCAAAGATATATAATTTTCACGAAACATTATTTCTTTTAATACTCACGAGTAGACAGCAGATTTCAAACTTTCTAAAATACAGTAAAAGACCAAAGTTTCTCGAGATGTAACGAAATTTCTATTTCATTCTTAACCTAATAAGATACTTAAGGGAAAAAATAAATTCCAACTTTCGTTCTTATCCCCACGAATTACTTTATAAAATCTCATTTCGCATAAAAATCCGCAGTCTACTCATGAACAACGATATATACTTCTAGCATTCGTGCGACTGTACGATTGTTCCCATAATCGTAGAGCCCAGTAAACGTTCGTTGAACGGGGGTATTAAGTAAAATTGCATAGCAACAAATGACGTCGTAGAACCGTATCAATTTTTCGATCTAGCAAATGATACGAACGTTTTCCTTGTTTCAGAGTGTCGGAGTAGCGGCGGTTTCTCGTGCAACGGGTCACCATGGCAGTCGGTAAGCGTTTTACCTGTTCTTGGACCAATCCGCACCTACATGTCCGTTCCCAGGGGCGAAGAGGGGAGGCACTTTTGCATCCGTGTCACGCGTTTCACGCATAATCACCGCGGCCACGTATCGCTACCGCGTATTCCTCCCTGGCGACGCGTTTCTCGTTTTTCATTTCGTAGGAGCCAACGGCGTAACCTGCTGCGAGAACTTCCAATAGGTGTACACACATATTCTCAACCGTGGCTGAATTCTGTCGGTCCACGTCGAAATCGACTTCTTCGAACAATCAAGAATTGAAATAAAACGTACGTCCTCGACGACCGTTTTGTGAATTTTAAATTTATTCTTTCATCGGTATCGCCGAAGCTCTTTGTTTTACCTTCGATCGACAGCTTTTGATCCCTTATGTGGTGAATACTTTTGTGGTACATTTCAACCGTGATTTTCGTAACGTGTTTTTTTTTATAAATATCCATGAATCGCTCAGTAATGTAATCTTTTCTTTTTATTTTGATAACTACTCGAGCGCAAGTTTTCTTTCTACTGGAAAAAGTCATGATAATATCAATTATTCAAGTATGTATTCTTTTCTTGTTTTGGATTGTTCATTCAACTATTGGTCCCTCGATTTTGTGTTTTCTACAAATTGAATCACATTCGAATGTCCTATTCAGTTACTTTTATATCACCCGTTCAGCCCTTTAACATCCTCTAATAATTTCTAGTCCGATCTTTTCGAACTTCGAAAGTCGAAACTTCAACCTCTTTGAACTTCTTCCGATAATCGCCGATCGGTATCATTTAGACATCAACCTGAATGATCGAATAATCGAATTGTCCACAGAAATGGATCAAAGGGTAAAGCCCCAGGCGGTAGCTCTTGCAAAGCTTTTTTATTCCTTTCCTATAATAGAGATGATCCCCTAGAAACGGGACAGCGGCTTCTTTGACTCCTGATTCCTGCACGAAATTCGAAACTCGCCACCTTCGTGTTCGAAACAGGGAAAATAGACGAAGTCTCAGAAGATCGCCGCGTTGAATGTCGAAAGTGCTCCTTAAGTTTTCGAACACGTTCGAAGAATGGGGGAAAACAGGTGGAATCTGTCAAGAGATTTCGATCGGCGACCGATGGATCGAGACACGAATTCGTACGCGGCGAACGTACTTGGGAACCGTTCTCGTTTCGATTCTCACACTCACCTCACGTAACGGCTGTCGATCACGCAAATTTCACTGATTTTCCAGCGATCCGCTACGATTGATCCACTCAACCCGCTTCTCGAAGCATTTCTCCATTCCAGAGACATTTTGATTTAATTGATTTTGATTTTTTGAATTCTGATTTCGTACCTTTATGGTAGTATGTACTTTGTAGACAGAAATTTTAATAGAATTACTATAAGAATGGTGTGAGGCGAGTCTCAATTTTGCTTCAGTTAGTGAAACTCCGAATGATAGGAATCGAGAAAAAGCATTTTTAGTAGCTCGATCAATAGAATAAACAGAATTAAAAAAAAGTAATATTAAATAGTAGATCGATTTTAACAGTGAAGTAATTTTTTATAGATTAAAAATCAAACAATAGATCCATTGTTCATTTGAGAGACAAATTAATTGTAATTATTCCGAACTTGATAGATGGTAGAACATTTAGGAAAATTACAGAGCATTTTAGACATTTTCTGATCATTTTAGAGTATTTCAGAGTATTTCAGAGAATTTCAGAGCATTCTAGAGCATTTCCGACCATTTTAGAGCAATTCAGAAAATTTCAGAATATTTTAGAACATTTGGAAAATATTTCAGAATATTTCAAACCATTTCAGATCATTTCAGAGTATTTCGGACCACTGAAAACGGTTAAAGAGTATTTCAGACGATGTCAAAACATTTCGAGAGTATTTCAGACCATTACAAAGAGTTCCATTGAATTCCATTGAATTTCACTGAATTTCAGAGCATTTTAGAGCACTTCCGACCATTTCAGAGCATTACACAGTCACAGTGCTACAATCCCCAAAGACATCCCCGAAGGTCCCCTGTTGGGACAGCTGACAATCACGGTAGACGAGTCGGAAGGTCACCGGTTACCAAAAATATTTTCACAAGCGGAAAACAGCCTCGGTGAAACTCGTTGACAGGAAACTTGGCTCGTAAGCTCGTCCCCTCTCCTCACGAGGTCGGATCATCTTCGAGGAGTAATAACGTGTGGTTCGTGAACGACGCTGGCGAACTTCCGGTGCCGTGAGCACTGTGTCTGCCCCGTTCCTCGCTTCTGGTTTACGGGGTGGGGACAATACAACGTCCGGTCCATCCCCCCACTAGCGTGCACCATTCGAATCGTTCATGGCGTCCTATAGACATCGTCGATCTCCGAACGAACAGTCTCAGGTGGACCTCGTATTCGTCTAGTCGCGAACCTTTTGTCTCTTTTCATTTTCCTTCGATCAACCACGACGGTTATTTTTCGTGTCCAGTGATCATCGTCGCGATTCGAATCAGAGACACGATTGATTTCCCGAAAATATGATCCCGTTGACTTATCGATTCTTCGATCAGGATCATTAGATAATTCTTGTTGATCGAACCGTGATTGAACGTTGTGATACATCGAGAAGAATTTTGTTTCTTGATTCGTCCATCCAGTGGCTGCTTCCGGTGTTCAGCAAGTGTTTCGCGAGATCCTCTAAACGGAAGGATTGATCGATAGAGGATAAGATTCGCTCGGATTATCGAAAGTGTATCTAAGATACGAAACTACTCTTCGTACAAAAGGAACGTAAACTGTTTGCAGCTGTTTAAAGTGTACCATTAGACCCCTGTGACTCTAGGAACAGGTTGGGGGAAACTTTTCTGTGACCAGATTCCGAGACTCATTCCCAAAGAGTCCATAGAAGATTAATAGCATTTGAAATAGTCAATTAGGTGTGATTACACTAGGAACTAATTATGGGTATACCCGTTTCACCATTCATCCAGAATAAAAAAGAAACTTCACCGAAGACTGTTTCAAGCTAAAGTATCAGATTCGATGACTCAGAAAACTAAAATCTAAAAAACCATAAAGTCCTCGATAGACTGGGACTTAATCTACACAAACTGCAACATACTTCAAAAACTCTTATCTCTAAGAAAGAGAGTCTCAGCAAACACATCGATTCAAACAATCAGACCTGATTCCCCACGAACAATCCCCTCAAATACCATACCCAGAAACATCGAAGACCCCCAACACTCTGATCCAAAATGCAGAATCTCCCTCAATGATCCCAGAAGTCACCCAGCAGAATCGAAAGTGTCTCCCCCCAAAGACTTACCCCAAGTCCAAAGACCAATTGTCACCCCTAGTCTAAAACTTAGACACACAAATGACTACTCGGGGAGCAAGCTAGAGGACAGCCAGCCACCCTAGTGTAGCCTACTAGCTACACCATAGGGCTACAGAGCACAGAGTGTTCCTGGCGTTCGAGTTTCTATGACTCCGGGTCCGTATGTTCACAGACAATCCCTCGTACTTCTCGTTGTCGAGCGGCGGTGCAGCGTCGTCGACCGCCCCGACGTCGACAACGGGGGTCGTCGCGTTCCAGCCGCCCGCGAAGGGTCCGTCCGGGTTGACAGCCCTGTTCAGACGTCGACCCAGCAAGATGGGAACCACATCGTCCGCGAGCGTGGTCTCGACGTCGACTGCGAGCACCACCGTGGTGCACCAAGAAAGCAATCGCAGCAGCGCGTCAGGAGGATCGACGCCGTCGACGCCAACCGAGGAACGGGCCCCGATGCTCGCGCGAAACGGATCTGGTCATCCAGGTAACAATCCGGCCAACCAGAGACGAAGCTTCCGGAACCTGTTCAGATCGGTCAGCGCGAACGCAGAGAACGAGAGGACCCAGCAGATCCTGAAGGGCGATCCTAGACCATCCGATGTCGCACCACCTTCGCCCTATCTGCCTCACAGGTTGGTTTTAACTACCTTGTTGCTGTTGGTAGCTTCTTTATTATTACCCAGTTACTGATCAGAACCTAATTCCTGATTAGTATACAGGGGGGACCAGGTACGGTACGACTTTTGAAGGTTTCTCCTCGAAAAAAAAAAGAGGGTGGATCATGGAACGAGATCAGTTTAGGTTGTTGCACTGCTAGCTATTCGATCGAAAAATTCTTTGGGTAATGTAATAGGATTTTTCGAGAGCCTTGATATGATTGTGACAAATTTTTTGTCAACCCTTTTTTCCACAGAGTTTCCAAGGTCAGCTTCAGTTTTGGTAGATACACCTATAGAAGACAGATAAGAGAAAGAATTATACGTTAAAAGATGGACGTAAGGATATTATAGGTTTATCTGAAAAAAAAACTGAAGGTGACCTTGGAAACTTTGGAAAAAAGGGGTTGATAACAAATTTGGTACAATCGTCTTAAAACTCTGGAGTAGAAAAATCTGGTCATGTTTCGTGGTCCACCCTGTATATCTAAGACGCCCTGTGTCATGAACAGAATGGTATTCTTTATTTAGGAGAAGTAGTGCTTGGAAGGAGGCGCCTTTGTTTAATTCAGTGATGCAAAGTACGCTTTGTCCAACAGGTCGCATTCGCACTCTGAGAATGACAGACGACGACCTGGTCGTAGTAGAACGGTCCTGAAGTCGGCCAGCGAGTTGCTCTCAAATGATATGGTGTACTGTGGCCTGGCTGGGGACAGTCGTCATCATGACGATGACGATGACGATGATGACGACGATCCTGACTCGAGCGAGGTCTTCATCGGCGTCGATGACGCCAGGTCAGTGATCCAGATAAATCAGACTCGATTTTCATTCGCGTACCATAGCACTTCGTTAACCCACGAACAATAGCATATGATTACTACATTCAATTTCTTGTAAATTTGAATCGTTTTAACAATTCTAACACTTTTAACACATATAATACCTGTAACACCTATAACACCTATAACATTCATAACACCTTTTAACGCACATAACATGTTTAATATCTTGAACAATTTTAACACCTTTAATACCTTCAACGCCATCAACACACCTGACACATTTGACACTTTTATTCACATTTTATACATTTGACACTATTACACACTTTTAACATTTTTACACACTTTTATACACTTTTAAACAATAATCGTATTCGTTCATCACACTTTTTGAACGAACAAAGAAATATTCAACCATCGTTATCACAATGGTCAACAGTAATAATAACAAAAAATATACTCGATTCGTAAAAAATTACACACTCTCAATCCAGTATAGTTAACTTCGCTATGGGATAGTCAAGGGGATGAAATATGAACCCTAGAACTCCCAAGTCTTGAGTCGTCACGCAAAAGCATAACGTTTAGAATAGAATGAATTTTCACATTGGCCTGTTCTGTTCGAATGCTCGATCGTAACTGAGGATGCTGCATCGTGCCCCTTTCGAATTAATCAGACTGATTCTTCGTTCTGTGCTCCATTGTCATCCTTTGGAAATAAGAGGAGTAACGTAAGGGTCCCTTTGGCGTGTTCATTAGTATCGCAACCCATAGTTCGTTTTCTTTTTTTTATGCACAGTTTTTTTCACGTATACTAACAGGGACTTCCATTGTATTAAACTTATACATTTCTAGGACAATAAATGGATTTTTGAGAATTTTTCACAAAAAGGAAATAGTTCGAATTTAACATTTTTCGAGTTTTGGGGTTCGAGACACTACCCTCCCTAAAAGTCATAGAATTGTACAGTATAAATTGAAGTATCTCGCAGATATTGATGTTAATATTTATTAAATATTAAATCGACTTTTCAGGTACTACAACCTTTCGTCGACCCTACCGGTGGCAGGTTCGGCAGCCGCAGGCCGAAGGAGACATTCGATCGGCACCTTTCTGGGCAAAGATCGAGGACCGCCCGCAAGAGACAATCCTGCTAGAAGGCAACACAAGAATTCGACGACTCTGATGGAACCAGATACAATGGCGCCACCGACACCCGTGGACACCGTCGACGGTGTCGAGGACAGAAAGGACAGATCCTGCAGCAGATCGAGACGCAGGCGACACCGTAGCTCTTCCAGCAGGGGTAAGTGAATATGATTATTTGGAATCGACAATAACTGGTGGACTGAGACCATTTTAACTCCGTGAAGCATGGTGACAAGAAAAATGTACCATATTCTTAATTGAATATAAAAATGTTGCTTATGCAACGTAATATGCAACATTTCTGTATTTAGTTGAAAATATGGTATGTTTTTCTTATCACCATAATGTTCTGATCCTAAATATGCCATTATTTTTTCTTGATTCGCTCTAGGTTTTGAGATATGCATGTCTTAAATATTTATGCAAAATAAGGAAAAAAATGAAACAGCAATTTCTATGATTCGGAATTAATTTTATTTATAAAATGTTATAATAAGAGACAAGATAGTTACATAGAAAGTATTAGAAAGTTATGAAAAAAAATACACAATCGTTTGTATAAAATTCACCTCTGAAACAAAATAAAATCGCTTATTTTATTCTGAACTTTGGAAATCACTAATTCTAATCTGTAGTATTAGATGCACCAATTCACTGTGGTTACAGTAAAATCGTAGTAGAATAAAGATTCAGAATACCTTTTCGATTTTTTGTTCACTCAAAATCACGTAGGATGCTGCAGACAAATAGATAAATATTTCAGTTCTTTTCGACAGAGCATAGAATTTCATTTAAAAAAAAAACAAAGAAGCTTACTTACCGGTATGTATGATATTTTACTTCAACTTAAAGAAAACTGGATATTATTAAAAAATTAGATAGTTTAGATTATTACATAGTTTTTTCATATGACAGCAGCTCAAAGTGGAGACATAATTAAAGGTTCCACATGTATGTATACCATTTACAATACACGAAACAAAAGTTTCGCTAACAGTCGACAATCAACACAGAGTGTCGAACAGAGGGCCCTTATTTTCCTTCTAACCCCTCCAGCTCTCGCACAGAGTGAATATGCTCTAACCATCGAGTGTTTCAGTTATATGGGAGTCGAACGATAGAGAGGAAATGGAGAATCCCCCTTAAATAACAGATTTCGGTATTATCCTGTTGGCATTAAACGACCAGACGGGTGTATTATCCTTTCCTTCAATTTCTCAATTTCATAGAATATTCTAGCATTACATGCTTCCTACACCGAGCAATTTCGTTTTATCACCGTCAGTGAGATACAGGAAGATTACCATTACGAGTGCATAGAAGCAACCAACAGATCGCAGATGTTCATGCAAATATCGATCTTTAATTATATTGAAATATCTTTAACCCTTTGATTGCGAACAACGCCTTTAAACAATCTTCATTCGTTGCAACAAAAAATTTGGAGGTGAACATTTTTGAATCTGTCGTTGCTTCCCATCAATCGTACAAGTCGTCTTTTAGGGGACAATTGCCGAATTTGGACCACTACTGTAACTTGTCATCTATAAACAATTTGGGCCTCATGATTGACAACATATGTGTGTTATAGTGGTGATTGCATTGACTAACTCATTACCTACAAGCAACACATAATGACATCCATAAGGCCCAAATTGCTTTCAGATGACAAGTTACAGTAGTGTTCGAACCTATGGTTCAAATTTGGCACCCTTTCCCTAAACCACAGTTACATTTTACAAAAGTTACACAAACAACGGAACGATTTCTGAATTATTAACAAAAAACATGGTACACAGCGAGCATTCAACTTCCGAATGGTTCGCAAACAAAGGGTTAATTGTTTACCGTATCAAAAGGCTTCTATCGAATACCAAACAAAATACAGAAACCGTCTAAATATTGATTAAATCTCTTATCGCACTGAATTCCCAACTATCAATAGTACACAGCAATAAGAGACAAATCTGACAAAGAAAAGAAAAAAGAAATGCTGAAAGGAATATCGATCAGCCGTCTCCCCGAACAAACGAGGCGCACAATGGACTACGAACAATTTAAGAGTCGAACCGAACGAATCACAATGACAAAGAATAGAACACACCGTAATAGCTTCACGTCACCGATTCATCGGTCTATACACAGTCGTTACTGTTCTCGAACCGAACGAAGCCCACGGGCGATGGGACTTAATTGGCCGATTAAAAGCAGTGCTTTCAGTACCGCCTCGATTCACGGTCTGAATAGTCTCTGACTATCTCTCTCACGGGGAGCAACATTCGCCGAATCCACGTCCATTCTTTTCCCTCCATGTCGGGTCAATCGCGACGATTAATTATCCCGTGGCCACTCGAACTCGCGTACCGCCCTCCAGAGTTCCCACGGGCCCCAATTTCGAGTTCGCGCGCCCGCATGTATGTATTTAGCCCGTCCTCGAATCACGTACGTATACAAAGTAGAGGTGGCGTGAACTGCTACTTGTGAATCACGAGTGATTCGATCACGCTCGTACCCAATCACAGTGATTTTTCAGTGATTCGTGATTTTTTGTGATCGTTTCTGATTGGTGGAGTATATTTTATATTAACGACATGGAAACATAAGTTCGAGTTATATCGTATAGAGTGAAGGAATAATTAGAAACAATGAAGATTATTGAATAAATTGATGATTATAAATTATAACCGACATGTTACCTAGAAAATCATTCTTTTAGAATTTGTTGTTTTTTCTACTGAACAGAAGGAATTGAAAGAAATTAACTTCCACTGAAACAAACCAAACAAAAATGAAAGGTAACACCAAAGTTGGACAGAATTTTATTTTTATTCATGATCGTACCCTGGGCTTTAAATAGTTAACGAGATTAAATAATTGTTTGCCAAGAGTTTCCTTATCCAGGACAAAATATTAATATACACATTCAATCGATGAAAAATGGCATAATACTTTTTTATCTTTCAATTCATTATTCGAACATCTTTATCTACATAACAAATTTTCCTATATCTAGGGGACACCTACCTCCCTAGTCAGCCGAAGTTACCTGACCTTACGGTATTTTAAAAATGTTCCTACATTAATTTCCACCAAACCAAGGATGTAGAATCCAGCAGAATCCAGCTATGGTAATTTTAAATGGAAACGATAGGAATATCCTCCTAAGGAACAAAAAATATAAAAAAAATGTCCATACATAAGTTATTTGGTATGGGAATATGCATACATCAAGGAGGAATTCTGTGAAGCTGGAATAGAAGCGAAGCAAGTAAAAAAAGAATATCACACGTTTATCATCGGGGACTTCTTGAAATTCGATTTGGGAAATCGCGGCCCTGAAGGATATCCGGTGATCTTTGATCGTTTCGCAGATAGAACCCCCACCCACCCATGAAACGGACGTGTGCAGACGACACTTACGGACACAGAAATGTCGTCCCCGGAAGCCCTGTACTTTTAGTATTCTGTAGTTAACGGGCATCGAGTGGCTCCTCTCCAAGCTGTGGCCGAAACGTGGCGGACAGATAGGTAAAATTTACGGCGTTACGTGATCCGTCGTGTCGATCCCCGCAGCGGCCCGAAATACATACATATAGATACATAAATCGATTCCACGTGATACGTCTCCTGGTGCTTATGTCGTCCACGTGTCTCACGTGTCCATCTGCCTCGTTAATTAATCAACCCAGGTAACGCTACAAGTGGGTTATTTTACGTGGAAATGTTCACAATTAACAGATCATTTTTGCATCGATATATCCCCCATCTACTGCAATAATGACATGAATCATAATTTGAAGTTTTTGAGTTATCAGTTACAGAAAAAAAAATCGGTAAATCTGTGTACTTTTTATCGGTTGAATCATGTGAGTGAACTTCCAAAACTTACCACGACGGGGCAGTCACTTTAATATGATGTTCGTATAAAATTATTGCTATCGAAAAATTCAAATTTATTTTCCTTGAAATTAAACATTAAAATTAGATTAACGGAAAGACGGTTAATGTGTTAGTTTATTCGATATTAAGGTTACTATCATTTCGTTGCAATATAATTATCATGATATTCTAATAACTTTAACAAAATTTTTTTAATTCTCTGAGGACGGAGTTTCTTTTTAAAATTAAGGATATCACATTTTTTTTGTACACCTGTATAATTCTACGTTCAATACTGAGCAAAGTTTTGTTTCAACCGTTTTTGGATACGCCTCACCGTTACGAAGTCTTTTTTAGTAAAAACGAAACAATTTTTAATTCTCTACAAATTCATGCCAGTTTGAATAACAAATTTTCATTCCCCTGTTAGTTGAAGTAAATCCATGAAACTTGCAGAACATACTGTACAATTGATGCATATGCTAATGACGATATCAAAAACTTTGAAAGACATCGACAAAATGAAGAAACCACGAAAATAGAGCTCTTCGTGTACTGAAAAAATAACGAAGACATATCATATGTTACAACCTGACACAGTAAACGTACCGTTGAATTTTCCAGTTGCTCTCTATGCTAAATCGTTGCCTCGTTGGTGGTAACGAGTATCGTTTACATCCAATTTTAAGGCAGTTGATAGTAAATTGCGTGGTTACGCGACGCGACGATACAGATTCGAGCATTCGTTGCTCTAGATAGCAATTCTCCATTTCAACGAATGAAAAATAACAGAGCAACCGACCAGACAATGATACCGATCTATATCGCGCTGAAAACACAATGACACACGATGAAGCACACAAGAATACAATAGAACCTCAATTATCCGAATTCTAAAAACATTTAGAAATTGCTACTTAACTTTTATTTCTCAAACTATACATATAGAAAAACGATTTCTCCCTATTTTTTACTATTCAGGTTCTTATTAAACAAAAAAAACGTTCAACCACAACTGCTCTCAGCTCATATTTTCAAAAAGACGTACTGCCACGTCATCCGACGTCAAAGTATCAACAGAAATTTATCAAAAATTTCGTTACACCACTTACGCTTTTAAAGGCTCGTACAAAACTAAAATAAGAACGCAGAAAAAGGTAAACAAACACGCGCGACAGATTATCGTCGCGAAACGTCATCGACGTTCAACGAATGATCGTCTGTTATTGTCCTAATCGCGTTAAACGGGTGACGCCGGGGAATTAACGATGCGACAGT